AAGAACCAGTGATTTTGGTATTCTTGCTACATTGCTGAAGATAATAAAGTCCTGATCCTCTTTGCCAAAGATGCTCGTGGAAGTGTATGTAAATTATTTTGTAGTTGGTTTTGGATTTTATCTCATGATATCAAGCTGCTATGTAATGGCTTCTTCCAGTTTGTTTGGTGAACAGAAAACGAGATTAGAATATTAGTCATCTTTTATGATACTATGTCACATCATATCAGTTTGCTTTTATTTTAAATTATTGAAGGCTATAACAATATGATATAGTTTTTAATTTTGGCCTGCATGAGTAGTTTTTAATTTCATTTATACATCTCTTTGATCTTTTTATCTTTGAAAACCAAGTTCTATTTAGATATGTATTCAAATATTTGGAATGAATTTTTTTTTATCCTTTTGAATCTACCTGGATTTTTTAACATAAATGTAAAATTTTAAATGATTTTTTTTTTAATTTTCAACAAATTTGTGGGGGTTTTAAACCTCCAGAAACTAAAATATTTGTGGGGGTCTGGAGCCTCCAAAAAATATTTCAACAAATTGTGGCATTGCACAAAAAACCCCCACAAAATATGTTGTGGCGTAGGCAAAACTGGAGGTCATTGAGGATGCCACAAATGTACTTTGTTGAGGTCAAAGACCCCCACAATATAAAAATATGACCCCCACAAAATGCTTGAATTTTTGTAGTGTATTATCCCATCCGGGTCAAATTTAATAAGGGGGTGTTTGGTTCAAGAGTTCTCAAAATTTCCCCATCTAAGTGCATGTAGCAATCTCCATTCTCCTCGTTTGGTTGAAGGATTCTATTACTTTTAGCCATCAAACACACTTTGCTATCTAAGTACAAAAGCGTGTTCAAAATGGGCAAATTTACTATTGAAGAATGCAACTTTCAACGTGGTATTTTCTGTCAAAACCAGAGAAATGGAAAATTGGGTGCAAACAGTGACATTAATACTCCTCTGTGACCCCAAACCTCGATTACATCTCTGAAAAAAGTTTATTCGATTCGGTGCATTAATATCTTCTTTCCATTAAGACCATCAATGCTCATCTCAGTTACTGGCACCCAAAGAAACACTTGCTTGCTCTTAATGCCACTCATCTTCTTCATCTTGAACTTCTCCATATATGCAGTAACCTCCACTGCATAACTCACCAAGGTCTTGGTACCCTCAAAGAAATGCTCGCTTGGGGACTTTTACTTCATCCACACGAATCCAGTTTCTCTAACTTTGCCGCACTCCACAAGGTCCTGCAATGGAAGGACCCCTTTGGGTAAACCAAGCTCTTTTAAGAGATCTATGGAGTGACAGTAGCATTCTTCAGAGCCATGCACTATCTCTGCCCCTGCACGCTCGTTTATCAGTGTGTTGCTTCTTGCCATTTCAAGAAAACGAAATATATTAATTTGGGACATATCATAATGTAATATATAGCCTCAAAAAATGAGGGTCTTCATGGGAAGGAAAGTTGGTGATGCTGACTTGGGAAACACGAGTGAAAAAAAATGAGAATATTTGATTACATTTATAAACTTCCGTTTGGGTTTGTGTTTATTTTGACATTTTGAAGAAACACGAGTGAAAAAAAATGGCCCTTGGAGATATGTTAACTGACACTTTACCCTGTTCTTCGAAGTATAATGACCCTAACTGGTAAATCTTAGTTAGAGATTTAATTTAAGGATTTAAATGCCATAATTAGATTCAGTGAGCGATTTCGAGTATTTTGACTGTAATCATGACTATGTTATGAACAATGCGTTCTGCCGGAGAATTTACAGTTTTGTGAATTAACCAGTAGAGCTTAAATGAGCCAAATGATTTTAGAAACATAATTTGACAATTCTGACGACAAATATGAGTTCAGAACGAAAAATTGTATAGTTTTGCACTTTCCGTGAAAATCTCATGAATAGTATTTCAACCGGGTATTTTGTACTGCTGTTTAAGCAACCGGTAGAGTTCAGAAACAAATAATTGATGAAATGAGAATAAGAAAGTCCAATATATGCCAAGAAATTCAATATAGGCCCAAAAAAATGATAAGTTTATAAGTGTTAAGTTTCAAAAATAAATAAAGTACAGTTAGTGGTTCACAGTGCATTACGTCAAAAACGGTGCAGAAACCATACTGTGAATTATGAATATTGTTCCTTAGGAAATAAAAATTAATTTAAATGAATTTAAAAAAATAAAAATATATCCGTAGCTTTAAGTTAAGTTCCAGGTCATTTTAAGTAAATTACGCGATAGAAAAATAACCGGATAAAAAGGGCCACATGTGCTCACCTATTAAGTCACTTAAGTCTCATTCCAAACCAATTTCTCTCTCCTCTCCTCACTCTCAAAACCGAGCTGCAGTAGTCATGGGGGAAGGGTAGGGTTTGTCTCTTTCTTTCTTTGATTTCTCCATGGTTAAGCCACCAAATCTTCCACCCAATATACCAATCTCATAGGAAATCATCCAAGGAAGCTATTCCACCCCTCCGTTCGAGCTGATTTCTTGTGTGGAGAGAGATACTTGTCATCTCATTTTTGTGACACTATTCATCAAGGAAGAAAAAGTGCATTTTGAAGGAGCCTTGCTTGGGGATGTGTCTTCTAGGCTTTGGTAGTTGATTAGAGGTAACAAACCTCTATTTCCATGGTAGTGTCTTGATTAATTAAGTTATAAAACTATAAATATGTTTGATGGGAAAGCATTATGTTTTAAAATTTGATTTGATGATGAATCCTTGATATTTTGAATGTAGGAAATGAAAAAGAGCATTGTAGGTATGTAAAAAAATTAGAAAAAAATCATATGTCTTTCCTCTCTATGTTCGGCCTTTGATAGGGTAATAGGATTTATTGTGTAAATTTTAGTTGATGTTTTAAGAGGGGTTTTATGTGTGCAAGTAAGTGGAATTTGGATGAGTTAGTAAGAATGTTAAATTGGAAAGAAAATCCTTAGAAACATACCCTTGATGTTTCGGCCTTGAAGGATTTGGAGGGTTTGAGATTCCAAAAATTTAATTGGAACTTGGTAGAGATATAATTATGTATGTGGAGTTATTAAATTAAGTGAAAGAAATGAAATAAAAAAAAACCTTGGTTTCCTCTTTATGGGTTTTGGCCTTATAGGGTGAAAATAAGGATGATGAAATTATGATGTATTTTGTTAAGGGTTGAGTTCAACACATGAGATTGTGTATTGACATAGTATTGGCTAAAATGTAAAGAAATGAAAATAAGCGATAAAATGTATGCTTGATGAAAGGATCATGGCATAGTATCATTTTGTTGATGTGATTCTAAATTCTTCTCTAGATGTGCCTAGGGATTGAAAAGGAGTGGAATTCTATTGAAGCGATATAATTAACTTGTGCAACAAGTAAGGGTATTAGTAAAGCTTCAAGAGGTAAGCTCTATGTTTAAGGAGTCTTTTCCTGCTTGAGTGCTCCTCCATGGTTAGTGAACTATGGTTGGACTGTATGACTGTTATTTAGATGCTTTGTATAGATGCATTCATATAGAGTTATTTGATAACATGATATGTTTTGCTCTGATATGACTTCTGTAATATGATTTCTGTAACAATATCTGGCCATTGATTGTATAGTACCCGGATGTCCGCTTTGGGGTCCTCCCTTGGGAATGACAGCGCACATCTCTTATATGATATGGATATATGCTCTATTCTGTTATGATATCTGTTATATGTTGTATTTGTATACTCTGTATCTGACTTTCATGCAGGAGTGAGCCAGGGGTATCGAGAATTCTCTATAAACCTGGAGCTTACTGAGATTTGTAATCTCACCCCTCGTTGGGGCCATATTTTCAGGTGCCCAGATTCCCGGTGAGACCTCTCTAGTCAGGGACGCGACCCGTGGCTGAGGATTTTGGACGGATTGGATTTTGAGTAGCAGTAGGCTACTTCTATTTTGGAGTATAGTGCTTTCATTTAGTATTTCAGTATTTTGTGGATCATGATGTGAGATCCTTTATTTTGTATATGGCCTGTATATGTTTTGTACATGTCTGTCAGTTTGATGCATGTACATTTGAGTATTCAGGCACGTTATATGATGATGTAGTATTCAGTTATGTTTATGTATTGGATTGCATGCTGTTAGATTAGCGGCACTGAGCCAAGTTATGCATACGCCCATGGATGGGTATCTGATTATATTTGCATGACTGGTACTTCTGGATTGATGTGTTGTATAAACTTTTTATCAGGAAATGCTTCTGAGTGGGATTGAAAAATCCCCAGTTGTCCGATTTATAGAGGAAACTCTGTCCGATTTTCGTTTACGTCGAATGAGAATTAAAAAGAAAAAGAAAAAGTTAGCTCGTATTTTCGTAATTTAAGTCTTCCGTTGTTTCTGTTTATATCATATGCATGTTAATTGAACCGGCTCGAGACGGGGATGTTACACGAAGCACGTTCTGTTGGCTTAGCTGGTTGAAAACAGACTGCCGTGAATAGATCTACCGCGTCGGAGAAGTTGGTGGTTTGAAGACCTGTTGATTTGGTTACTTTCATAAATTTTATAAAAAAAGGTTACTTTCGTAAATTTCATCCATTTCTCCATTAAATTTTTATTTTCAACCAAACATACACTCAGCATATTTAACTCAATTTCTCCACTAATATTTTACGGAACCAAACATTTTTTTTTACATTTTCCTACCAAATTCACTTTCCAACCATTTCCCTAGTATTCAAAAAAATTTCTCCTCAACCAAATGTCTCCTAACACTATTTTTTATGATGGAATCTATTTATTTTTATATGAATATAGTAAAAAAAAACAAAATCAGCAATTAAAGCTGAAATATTTTCACAATAAATATGTATGAATTTTATTACTCATAAATAAGTGGTTGGAATTCTTTAAGACACCAACGCTTAAAAGTCAACATTTTGAGATCTAGACTTATACATCAATTTCCGTCCAAGAAAAATATCTTATCTTCAAAGTTGCGTAGACCATTTCGAAATGTCAATAATTATTTTCAGCTTTCCACCATAGCCAAGAGAGAGAGAGAGAAGCAAAGAACACAACCCAGGTAACAATGGAAAGGAGAGCAATATCCTCAGTAGCTACTATTCTTCTCCTATTCTTACAAACTTGTCCAGCTTCCTCTGTCTTACCCATCCACCATTGTCCTGCTTCCTCCTGTGGCAATACTCCCAACATAAGTTACCCATTTCGACTCTCAAGTGACCCACCCAACTGCGGCGACAAGAGGTACGAACTAGATTGCGAGAACAACGCAACAATGTTAAATTTGTTTTCAGGGAAGTATTATGTACATGAAATCGATTACAAGAGATACACAATCAGAGTGAGTGACAGGGGTGTTGTGGAGGACACTACTTGCTCCTTTATCCCCCGCTATTTCTTATATTCTCTCAATTTCAGTCAAAATATCATTGGTCCTGGAACAGATCTGCTAAATTTGGAGCCGTTTGATGTTCCGACAATAGCGTACTTCAACTGTACCAATCCAATCACTGACGATCCTCGATATGTGAAGGTGGATACCACTCGTTGTGGCTCGAGTGGGCATATCTATACTGTTCTGAAAGATTCATCAAATGATTTTAGCGTGATGGATATCAAAGTTGGGTGCCAACTGAAGGTGGCTACTTTTGGAAATTGGGGGACAACGAAAGACCACAAAAATAAGAAAAATGTTTCCTATGATGACATCCACAACATGCTGGCTTATGGATTTGGGCTGTCTTGGTTATATGTTATTTGTCAAGATGAATGCGGAGAGGGTAAGGGTTGCAGTGTTATCAATGAATCCAGTAGTCAAATCCAATGTGATCAGCAAAACTGTCGTTATATCTACGGGAGTAACGGGACGAATGAAGTCACCTATGATTGCGGTAACAAGAACATAATATTTTTTTTATAACAGCACATAATTTCGCTAACGCTCATTTATGTTTTTTATAGCTTTCTAGGTTTTTTTTGTTTTGAGCACTTTCTATTTTATTTATTCTACTAGATGATCAATATTTATACATTTGTCTTTTGTCAAAGAGTAATGTTATTTTTCTCGTAAAATTAATAATTGTTTACGCATATGAATTAAAATGATTTTCAATTCTTAAAATATTAATGCAAGATTTGTTTAAAATATAATGTGCCAAAATTAAGACTTGTACAACTTAAAATTTATTGTTTCCTATATAAAGGTACGGGTTTAATGTTTAAGTTATCTCCTGCTCGCATAAAAAATAATCCCAAAAAGTACTACTATTTTATTTAGTAACACCATCATAGTTAATTTGTGTTTTATATATATAGAAGTTTGTGTTTTACACCAATTATATTATAATTTAATTATGTGTTCTTATATCGTTAAAAAAAAGGTATAACTTTCTTAAGTAATTAATATTTAAATAAAAGTTTTTAAACAACATGGAAAAATAACATTAAAAGATAATTTATAAAAATTGTTTATGCATTTTTTTTAGTAAATAATTGTTTGTGCATTTAACATCCTATAAAATTCTTTTTATAAATCTTCTTTTAGTTCCCTAAAGTATTTTTTCAATCTTTTCTTTTAGGTGTTTCAGGATTATTAAGCATACTTAGCACTGTTATAGGTGAGAATTCCATTCTTTTCTTCATTCTTCTTTTTTTTCTGCGATATATATATATATATATATATATATATATGGGTAATATAGTTCTTCTGTCGCTGCAGATGGGAAAAAGTGCAGCAACACTTATTTTTCTCAGGATACGCGTGCGGATCCTGATGTTTTTTTTTTTTAGGCCAGGATACGACAACGTATCCTAATGTTAAAAATTTGCTATAACTTTTCTCATCAGCAGTGAAAGGAGAACCGACGAACCCTATATATATATATTGCAATATGATTTGTAAAGTGACTGCGTGTAAGGGTTAGTGCGGTAAAAAAAACTATAACTATGTATTACGGGTAGTACATAGTTATAATATTAAAGTTATTTTTTCAGGAATATAACTAGGAATATGTTATTCTACCTACCATTTTTTCTGCCTACCTTTGCCTACCACCTTCCAACACCGTTAGATCATAATCTCAAGAAGAGAGAGAAAGATAAATGTTAGTTAAGATTCTGATCTAATGATGTTTTAGAGTGGTAGGCAAAAGTAGGCAGAAAAAATGGTAGGTAGAATAATCTATCCCATATAACTATGTACAACAGATAGTCATGATATTAAAGCTGTTTTTATTTTTCTCTCTCTCTCCTCAATTACTTTTAAGAGGCTTGTCGGGTGACATAGGAGAAAAAAAAATAACTTTAATATTATAACTATGTACTACCCGTAGTAGGGATAGGTTATTCTACCTATCATCTTTTCTGTCTATCTTTGCCTATCACTCTTCAATACCGTTACATCAGAATCTAAAGAGGAGAGAGAAAGATAAATGTTAATTAAGATTCTAATCTAATGGTCCTTTAGAGTGGTAGGCAAAGGTAGGCACAAAAAATGGTAAGTAGAATAACATATACCCTGTAGTATATAGTTATAATTTTTTGACCGCAACAAACCTTATATACAATGACATGATACATCATTTTTCATATATATATATATATATATATATATATATATATATATATACACATATATATATATATATATATATAAAGGTTCTTTTGACTCCAGAGTAAGAATTTTAATTCTTACTCTCCATCTCAGCCGTTGATGGACGGAAATCAACGGTTGTCATTTATAGTATAATTAATAATTAATTAATTATTATAACTTCATAAACTATAACTGTTGAATGGACGCAAATGAACGGCTAGTATAAGTCTTACTCTGGAGTCAAATGATCTCTCTCCATATATATATATATATATATATATATATATATATATATATATATATATATGTTGACATAAATTTGTTGACATCTGAAACATTTCTTACAGGTTACTGCATTGGTGTTTATAAAGGTAAGATTTTATTCCGTCTCATGTATTTTACTTTCTACAATGTTATTTTTACATTGATAATATCATTTAATATTTTCTTATCGAGATTATTCTCAGCCAAATCCACAAATATATGAAAATCTGATGTACAAAAATAGACCAATGGTCATACATAAATAGAGAACTTCTTGTTATGGTGCTTTTCGATTGTGAAATTTTTTTGTTATGAAAAAAAATTATGGCTCGTTTCATTTGAATTTTAAAAGGGACATCTTTGAGAAGTATTTACGAATGTTTCATTTTGTTTTTTATTCTTATTTTCTGAGTTTATATAAAAAATGCATGTGTTAAATTTTATTATACTTTTAATCTTACATACGTACAACAGTTTCACAATAATTCTACCCGTCACTTGCAAATGATATGTAACTTTTAACACTCTATTTATTCACATTTAGTTGTTATAAACTGTAAATATTTCGTTAGAAAAATTGGGATGGCAAAACAAATAACATGAGAATAGCCATAATAAGTTCTGGGGTATACATACCCCCACCCACGCCTGCAGGAATAATGCAAATTTTTGGCGTGAATAGAGCTCGGAGCTACGATGGAATTGATGTTGAGATCGGAAAAGTCACGGGAAGGTATGTCCTACCATACTTTGTTGTGAGATTTGTATTGGGTGTCGTAGCTTTCATTGTACTGTTAATCTACAAATGGGGAAGAAGACATACATCAAACTATGAAAATATCGAAGATTTTCTGCAAGAAAATACCTTCATGCCAATAAGGTACTCATACAAAGAAATAAAGCAGATGACTAGAGGCTTTAAGGAAAAGCTGGGCCAAGGTGGGTTTGGCATGGTGTATAAAGGAAAGCTACGAAGTGGGCCACTTGTAGCTGTAAAGATGTTGAGTAAATCAAACGCTAATGGGCAAGAATTCATAAGTGAAGTCGCAACCATAGGAAGGATACACCATGCCAATGTGGTTCGACTAATTGGATTTTGTGTTGAGGCATCAAAACGTGCTCTTGTTTATGAATTCATGCCCAATGGCTCTCTTGATAGACATATTTTCTCGAAAGAGGATAGTATTTCTTTATCTTACGAGCAAATATACGAGATTTCTCTTGGAGTGGCTCGTGGTATTGCTTATCTGCATCAAGGCTGTGACATGCAAATTTTGCATTTTGATATCAAGCCCCATAACATCCTTCTTGACGACAACTTTATCCCTAAGGTTTCAGACTTTGGCCTTGCAAAGCTTTATCCTATTGACAAAAGTATTGTGACTTTGACAGCAGCAAGGGGAACAATTGGATACATGGCTCCTGAATTATTCTACCATAATCTTGGGGGAGTATCTTACAAAGCTGATGTCTATAGCTTTGGAATGCTTTTGATGGAAATGGCAAGCAGGAGAAAAAACTTGAACAAAGAAGCAGAGCATTCAAGCGAGCTTTTCTTCCCTCTTTGGATTTATGATCAATTGAGCAGAGAAAATGAGTTGGAAATGGAAGATATTACCGAGGAAAAGAATGATGAGGCAAAGAAGATGTTCATAGTTGCATTATGGTGTATACAGTTAAAACCAAGCGATCGTCCCTCTATGAACAAAATAGTAGAGATGCTGGAAGGAGAACTTGAGAGTATTGATATGCCACCAAAACCTTCCCTATATCCACACGAAGTGATTCAAGAGAATCTCACTACCAACTCAGACCAAACGCTATCCGATGATTCTATTGGTTCTACAAGTTATCTTGAGGAAAGCTCTGTTAATACTTTAGAGAAGTATTCTGCTTCATAATTGTAATGAATTTCGTTTTACAGTTAATTTTCTTGCAAAATGCATAATTTAAATTCTTGGTTACTTCAGTTGAGATTTTATGTTGAGATGTGAACATGCACCAAACACAACCTTGATGTGCACAAAACATGTGACTTTCCAGTCCCAAAAAAAAGAAAAAAAGAAAGAAGAAAACTTGCGATTTTTCTTTATTCTTGCAGGTTATTTAGCATTTCACTTTCCTTTTATTAGTGCAGAACGATATAGAGAGGGAAGGGTTGTTACAGTCTAATGCCAGAGCATTTAGGATTTACTTTTAGATGGCTTAACAATAAAAGACCACTAATAGAAACCGAAATTAAAACATTTTTGTCAACATTGTTGGATCTTACTAGATTAATCTATGGTGTCCAGTTTTTTTACTTTAAGATTGGCCTTTATCATGCACTTATTCTTATATTTGCATAGCAACACCCCCCCACCCCCCCTCTTTATGGGTAATATATTTAGGAAAATATTATTCTTATGCAACATAAGATAACATCTCCTTCCTACACACTCATTAATTTCCGTGTAGTTTATTTTTTATTTTTTATTTTTATAAGTAAGTGGACCCCACCCATGATTGTGTCTACAGTAGGAGATAACTACTCTCCTACAACATGAGATTACTAAACCCCTTATATTTTTTATGTAACAGGAAAATAAAAGAATTTCATGCACATACAACAATAGATGTGGGGCCTGTTAATTTTTGTTTTTCTCTTCTTTTTTTTAAATACAAGGAAAATGGAAACAGCAACAGAAACAACAGAAAGAAATTAAAGGGAAGTCAATCTGGAAGTAGAGACTCCCGAGAAGGGGGGAGTTCAAAAATAATCGTATCCCAGGTGTGGATATCATAGTGGGCAGCCAACCAATTTGCTACCTCATTCCCTTCCCTGTGAATGTGAGAAATTTTGACAGACCAATCCCTGTTGATGGTATTGATAATTCTATTTACCAGGGGAAACATGGGGTGGCTTGAGTGACAATCTGATGAGATTAGATTAATAGCAATCAGGGAGTCGACCTCCAGCCACAGCTTCCTAAAGTTCCTATTCCAGGCCAGGTCTAGTCCAACCAAAATACCCCAAAGCTCAGCCAACAGAGGAGTGCATGTGCCTAAGAACTTGTTAAAGCCAAGGATCCATCTTCCATCTGCACCTCGCAAGACACCACTACAGCTAATATTACCGTCCAGTAAAGCACAAGCCCCATCAGTATTCAGCTTGGACCAACCATCATCAGGAAATTTCCAGATTATAGAGATTTCCTTCCTTGGTTTATTGATCAGCCCAGCGGTTTGAAGGAGGTGATCATCATTCTTAAACCCACAACAGACCGCAGAGGCTCTTTGCACAAGGCCAAATGGTGAGTTTCTTTTCCCATTAAAAACCCATTTGTTTCTTTCTTGCCATAAGGACCAGAAGACGATGCCAAAGAGAGAGCTCCAATCGGTTAGATCACTAAGATTGGAGTGGTTCGACAAGTTGGAAAAGAGCCAGTCATTGAAATTTCCGGAGAAGAAATCTATCTTATGATGCTGGGCAAGTAGGATATTCCACACTTGTCCGGTAAAGGGGCAGTTTCTGAAAATATGGAGACAATCCTCGATAGGGAAGTGGCATCTCGAGCAGTGAGCTTCAAGGGACATATGCCTTTTGACTCTTTGATCGTTGGAGAGAAATTTATCACCCAAGAGAAGCCAGAGGAAGGTAGCAACTCTAGGAGGGCCTCTCCACTTTTTTAGAATGCATGCCGAAGGGGGATTAAGTCTGGATTCAAAATTACACAGAAAGTTATAAGCTGATTTTACTGAGAATAAGCCGTCCACAGAGGGTTCCCAGATAACACGATTAGCACCATCAGGGGGAGTGGGGGACTCAAAGCAGCAATACGATTGCAAGTAGCACTCGGAAGAAGCCTGAGAGGATGTTCCAGTTCCATTGCCCTTCAGGGGTGACAAAGTGAGACACGGAGTAGTTGAGGAGATCTTCGGAAATGTCAATGGTAGCCAAGGTTTTCAGCGGCCCAACATCCTTAAGCCAATTGTCAGTCCAGAACTTGGCCGTGGCACCATTGCCAAGAAAGATCCTTGAGCCATCCGTAATATGGTTCCACGAATGCTGGACACCCTTCCAAAGATTGGACCGAATTCTGGAGCTGCCAACCGAAGGAATTAGGTCATTTCCCACTTTGTATTTCCCTCTCAACACTTGGACCCAAAGAGAATCTTTCTTGGTCAGGATACCATGTCCTATCTTCATAAGCATGGCATTGTTGAAAGCACGTATCCTTTTAAAGCCGAGACCACCTTTTTCTTTGGGGGAGCAAACCACGTCCCAGTTGACAAGAAGAACCTTGCGCCTCGAGGGAGATGATCCCCAAACAAATTGTCACATTGCTTTCTCAATGTCATCACAAACAGAAAAGGGAAGCAGTGCAGATTGCATCGAGTAGGACGGAAGGGCAGCCAAGACAGAGTTAGTAAGAGTGACCCTTCCAGCCAGGGAAAGGGATGATTGGTGCCAAGCACTCAGTCTCAAGTTGACCCTGTGGAGAACATGAGAGAAAGAGTCTATGTTGACCCTTGTGTGGTTGAGGTGAACTCCAAAATACTTACCAAGGTCATATGTCATCCTGAATTCGAGGCAGTCGCTAATTTGCTGGCCTCTAGGACCACACACATTTTTAGAGAAACAAACTTTAGTCTTCTCTTTGCTGACCCTCTGATCCGAAGATAAACAGAAAGTTTTAAGAACTTGGTTGACGATATGAGCCTGGGCTAAGGAAGTTTCAGAAAACAGAAGAATGTCGTCAGCAAAAAACAAATGAGAGAGGGCAGGACCGTTCTTACTAAGGCGAATCGGTTTCCATGCTCCTACTTGAAGGGCAGTTTGGATAAGATAGGAGAGTCTTTCCATGCAGAGAATGAAGATGTAAGGAAAAATCGGATCTCCTTATCTAAGGCCACTAGAAGGAGTAAAATTTCTGGTCTTCCTACCATTCCAATTTTCCAAAGGATGTTGAGGGAGGAAGTAGAGATGCACATCATGATCAACTCGACAATGTTGTCAGGGAGACCAGCCTCTCGTATAGTATCTTGAATAAAGCTCCAGCTTAGACGATCAAAAGCTTTTTCATGGTCGATGTTTATTGCCATCCAGTCCTTGGTGCCCTTCTTGAGTTTCATTGAGTGAATGACTTCTTGGGCCACCACGATATTATCGGTGCAATTGCGACCTTGAACGAAGCTGCTTTGAGTAGGAGAAATTAGCTTTTGCATGAACTTTAATCTTCCAGATAAGAGCTTCGTGATAACTTTGTAAGAGACATTGCATAAGCTAATCGGCCTGAAATCGTTGATAGAAATCGGATGGTCAATTTTGGGGATTAGTGAAATTAGAGTTTGGTTAATTTCCTTCACTCTGTGTGGAGAGGTGAAGATGTCTAGGATCAAGTTGGTTAGAGAAGTCCCAATTGTATGCCATTGGCTCTGATAGAAGGCTGCATGGAGACCATCAGAGCCCGGGGCTTTTAATTTGCCCATTGCAAACACAGTATTTCGAATTTCCTCGGGGGAAGAGGTGAGCTTAACTCCAGCAGAAGAGCCTCTTCCAGAGATGGAAAAACACTAGAAATTGGGTAACTAGCATCGTCTGAGTTTTCAGCAGTGAAAAGTTTGACAAAAAAGGAAGAAGCATGGACAACGATGTCCTTTAGGTCTGTCAGCCAATTACCTTGGTCGTCCTTCAGAGTGATGATGCTATTCCTTCTTCTCCTGGCGGTAGCAGCTGAGTGAAAGAATCTTGTATTCTTGTCACCAAACTGGAAGCAATTGCATCTTGCTCTTTGGTACCACGTTAGCTCCTAAAAATGAAGGATATGTATCTTGCTTGCTGTCTGTGTAGGAAAACTTTTTGTTTTCTTGTTACATGACAAATATATTACCTTTTTTTATTAGTGACTATATTACATTCTACTCAAGGAATAAAATTAGTCATCCCGTCCAAACCAAGAATCTATAGGCTATTTCGAATTTCGTAAAGTCTAGAATAATACAGTCTAACTTGAAGAGCTATTTTAGGCAAAATGAGCTATTCCTAATTTAAATTGACAGTTCAAATTACAAGGATGGAATAATGATTTCTTTTTCTGCTCGACAAAATTTCTAGAATTGTGAATACCTGAAATGAGTGTGTCTGAGCGCGCATCAAAACCCCAAGCTCAAGGACCTCAGACCTTATGCCCTTATTTATAGGCTATAGTGATAACTCCTTGGGATATTTAAGTGTGACAATGGTATCGCAGTGGAGTTCGAAGTCGATTAACCATATGTTTGCTAAAGATTTTCTTAAAGGGAAGGATAATGATATGGGATTTCACATTAAAAGGAATAATTGTTGGGATATGTGATAGAATCTTATAATTGATAGAAATTTAAATGAATAACATATAAGTGACCATATATTTAAGGAGAATATATATGTCATGTACCAGGATAATAAATGTTTTTCCTGGACAAATAGATTTTAATAGGCCCTACCATAAAAGAAAAATAAAAAACAAAGGAAATATTTACACGCTTATCGATGAGTCAGTAGAAAATTTGTTTTCTATCATGTTACATAACGTATGTATTTCCCTATATTTAATATGTTAAGGTTTTAGGTTAAGAATTTGTACGGAGTCCACTTGTTATTGGTGGTATAGCTTTGCTCATTTATAGTGTTTTCCCCTATCATGAGCTCTTGTCCCGCCTAAGTCTAGAATCAAAGTATTTGGATATGAGATATTTAGGCTTTGATTGGGAGTTTGAAGGGAAAAGGAAAGAAACAAATTCAAGGAAGACGGAGGGGAAAGAAGGGGAGGAAAATGAAGGATATTATTGCCTCCCCTTGTTTGGGAGTTAAAACCCTCCAAATTGGGGGAAACTCTAATTTTAAGAACAAGAAGCATTTTAGAGGGTTTAGTAAAAATTCTTAAATCCTTCTCCTCACATCCTTCCTTAAGTAAAAATCCTTAAATCCTTAAACT